AGTTTTGAGAAAAAATAAACGAAAAGAACTTCAAAGCTTATTGACTTAAGACTTAGGGAGATTGACACAAGTCAGTCCATCTATCATCATTCCATCATGCAGGAGGAGCCACATGTCTAGGGTGTATCCAACAAATAAGCAGACTCTTGGATGTCACTACTGCCCGGCTCCGTGGGTTACAAGTTTTCTTTGGAAAGGGTTTTAAATCCCACCACCAGATGTAGACCAAACGAAATGTAAACTTTGCCAGATGGGCTATTGTCACACCTTGCATCATTATGCACTGGAGTGTGACAAATAATGAATTAAGAAACAACTCACTCAGAAATGTTCAAAGAAATGGCAAAGTATTTTATCCACAGTGGTATTTTAACAGACCTTTCTGGAGAAATACCCTGACTTTGCTAGCTGTAAATAATGCATTACCATGTTTTGTGTGTGTGTGTGTGTGTGTGTGTGTGTGTGTGTGGTGTGTGGTGTGTGTGTGTGTGTGTGGTGTGTTTTGTGTGTGTGTGTGTGTGTGTGTGTGTGTGTGTGTGTGTGTGTGTGTGTGTGTGGGTGTGTGTGTGTGGGGGTTTGTGTGTGAGGGTGTGTGTGAGGGTGTGGGTGTGTGAGTATGGGTGTGTGTGGGTGTGTGTGTGTGGGTGTGCGTCCTTGTGTGTATGCATATATTTGTACGCTCGTGTGCACATGTCCGTGCGTGCGCCTTCGTGTGTGTATGTGTGTGTGCGCGCGCTAGTGTGGATGTATGATCCACTTAATATTTGTATTTATAGCTCATTACAATTGTGACCAGGTGTGGACGTATCAGTGGTTCATTACTTTGTAATTTGTTCATGACTGTAACCATGTATAGGAGTGAGGCTGATTCATTACCTCTGTAACTTGAACATTAAAATGGTATAAAATACCGACAGATTGTTAGGTAAGACACATATGCATATGTGTCTTACCTAACCTCTGTAACTTGCCATGATTGTGACCAGATCTACCTGGAGTTCACTACCTTTGTAACTAGTTCAGCTATCATAACTTTGGGGTCCAGCCACTGGACCCATTATGTAACTTTGTAATCTTTTGACTACCGCCCACAGGATGGGTATGGGGTGCATAATAAAGATATTAAACTAAAATGTGTGTGTGTGTGTGTGTGTGTGTGTGTGGTGTGGTGTTTTGTGTGTGGTGTGTGTGTGCGTGGTGTTGGGGTTGTGGGTGTGTGTGTTATCACCTATTTGTGGTTTTGGTGTGTGTGTGTGTGTGTGTGTGTGTGTGTTGTGGTGTGTGAGTGTGAGTGTGAGTGTGATGTGTGTGTGTGTGTGTGTGTGTGTGTGTTGTGGGGTGTTTGTGTGTGGTGTAGTGTCAGTGTCAGTGTCAGTGTGTGTGTGTGTGTGGGGTGTGTTGTGTGTGTGTGGTGTGTGTGTGTGCGGGTGTGTATGTGTGTGTGTGTGTGTGTTGTGTGTGGTGTGTGTGTGCGGGTGTGTATGTGTGTGTGTGTGTGTGTGTGGTGGTGTGTGTGTGTGTGCGGGTGTGTATGTGTGTGTGTGTGTGTGTGTGTGTGTGTGTTTTGTGTGTGTGTGTGTGTGTGTATGTGACTCAACAATCATATTTGCACCAATAACTCACTTTCAGTTGTGACCGGGTGTGGAAGTGTGAATTGCTCATTACACTATAATTTTTCATGATTTTAGCCATGTATAAAGGTAAGTAACCATTCTTACAGTATTCATTGCCTTTGTAACTTGTGAGCTCATTACCTTTGTACCTAGTTCAGCTATCAAAACTTCGGGGGCCCAGTCCCTGGACCCATTACGTACCTCTGTAATCTGTAAATACCTTTGTAACTTGTCATAATTGTGGCCAGACCTACCTGGAGTTCATTACCTTTGTAAATTATAAGTTCATTACCTTTGTAAATTGTGAGTCCATTACCTCTGTAACTTGCTCAGCTATCAAAACTTTGGAGTCCAGTCCCTGGACCAATTATGTACCTCTGTAATCTTTTGACTACCGCCCACAGGATGGGTATGGGGTGCATAATAAACATATTAAACTAACTAAAAACTCGCTTACGACTGCCTTACATCACCTTTCTACACTATATAAGACACTTTTTCGCGCATATGCTGTATTCTTTTCAAGATTGATGGACTGATTACATAGACTCCAGACTGATGGGCTAATTACATACACTCGAGATTACCTCAAACTCCTTCTGATCTTCACCATTCTTCTTTGTATAGAACTGATGAAGCAACTGTATGGCGAAACGTTTCCTCAATAAAGATACCTAGGTGTTGCACATGTGTCTATAATCTTTTGGTCACCTCCCGCATCATGGGTATGTGGTGCGTAATAAAGTTATTACACTAACATCAACTGACGTTATTTTCTGCATGCAGTGTTACATAAATAATTACAGTGTTAGACTGGAACTGAACTGAAACTCATTGTTTCAGTTCCTGACCCTCTTAAGACTGCTGATCTACAGCTCCTGAGCCTTTTGAGTGTCAGAAACTCAGGTGTTAAACTTCTTCAGTGTTGAGCTAAATCTTCTGCGTTTATCTCCAGCTCCTGAACCGTTAGGAGGCTGGAGCTGTACCTCCTTGCGATTTTTTTAATTATGTTTCATGAACTGAGGTACGGGGAGCTGGGGTTGCTATTTCGGGAAATGCCATCCTCGGCTCTTACAGAGATCCCAAAGAATCTATTTTTGAGTGTTACTAATTATACTTCTAAGAGTTGTAGAGTTTCTTTGAAGAGAATGCATAGCTTATACATGTTTACGTTATCATAATTCTTATCGGCAGATTTGAGCAAGCCTTTTATGACCCATGTGTTAATTTGTCTAGTAGATACACAACACTGCACTTGCAACACCACTGATGGTTTTTACACATTTACATAGGCGCGATAATACGTTTGTTGTTGTTAACATCATGAGATAATTCCATTTCAGGAATATCTAAAATCCAACACTATAATACACTTCTTCATTGACACAGTGTGAAATTAACTATTTAACTGACCAGTACATTATTATAATCATGGGGAAGCGCTAAACCCGTAGGGATTATACAGCGCCTATGTGGGGGGATGGAAGGTATTCAGGGAATCGGAGCACAGATCCAATTCCCTAGACTAGACCAAGAACCTTCCTTGAACCAGGAACCTTCCTTGAGTTTTTTTTTAAGTTTTTTAGTTTAATATGTTTATTATGCACCCCACATCCATCCTGTGGGTGGTAGTCAAAATATTAGAGAGGTACATAATGGGTCCAGGGACTGGACCCCCGAAGTTTTGATAGCTGAACTAGTTACAAAGGTAATGAACTCACAAGTTACAAATGTAATGATTCCTGTAAGTAAATTTACTTGCTTACGTTTATACATGGCTACAATCGTGAACAAATTATAGAGTAATGGGCAATTCACAGGTCCACACCCAGTCACAACTGTAATGAGTTACTGGTGCAAAATATTAATTGTTGGGTCCCCTTGAGGGGACTGACCAGTACAGAGCACAACGTATTCACGTTTGTATGTTACGGTGAGATACGCTGGTTGCTAGGCGACCAGTAACATTCCTGGTACCAAGCCTTGTGTTACTCAGTTATACTCAGCTTCATGTAAGGTGCGGTACTCTACATTCCTTGTACACCATAGCTGTGTCTGCCTACCTCTCTACGTAAGTGTTCGCAGTCTAGTGCATCAAATTTTTAAACATATTCTATCTGACAATTAATTGTCTTGCACTTTTGAGAAAGCCTGAAATAGAAGTGATATACGGCCGCTCTTGACAGATCTGGTCCATTGAATATTACCATAATTTATCAGAGTTACTTATCGATTTTGCTGAAATCAGTTAGAATATGATTAAAATTTTTCCTAAAACCAGTAAATTTTTGACTGGAAACAAAGACACGACTCTTCCAGACAAATTATTATTACTAACATATATATGTATATGCATGTATGTAGTAGGTTGGTAGACAGAAATCACCCAGGGAGGTACTACCGTCTTGCCAAGTGAGTGTAAAACAGAAACCTGTAATTATTTTACCTGACGGTAGGATTGCTGGTGTCCTTTTTCTGTCTCAAACTTGCAAGGTTTTAGGTACGTCTTGCTACTTCTACTTACACTTAGGTCACACAAAGAGGCACTAAACTACAGACCTGTGACACTAACCTGTATAGTATGCAAAATCATGGAGAAGATTATCAGGAGGAGAGTGGTGGAGCACCTGGAACGGAACAAGAGTATAAACGACAACCAGCACAGATTCATGGAAGGCAAATTCTGTGTCATAAACTTTCTGGAGTTTTATGATAAAGTAACAGAAGTAAGACACGAGAGAGAGGGGTGGGTTGATTGCATTTTCTTGGACTGCAAGAAAGTCTTCCACACAGTTCCTCACAAGAGATTAGTGCAGAAGCTGGAGGATCAGGCGCGTATAACAGGACGGACACTGCAATGGATCAGAGAATACTTGACAGAGAGGCAACAACGAGTCATGGTACGTGATGAGGTATCACAGTGGGCCCCTGTGACGAGCGGGGTCCCACTGGGGTCTAGGACCAGTGCTATTTTTGGTATATGTGAATGACATGACGGAAGGGATAGACTCAGAAGTGTCCCTGTTCGCAGATGATGTGAAGTTAATGAGGAGAAATAAATCAGATTAGTATCAGGTAGGACTTCAAAGAGACCTGGACAGGCTGGACACCTGGTCCAGTAACTGGCATCTCGAATTTAACTCTGCCAAATTCAAAGTCTTGAAGATTGGGGAAGGGCAAAGATGACCGCAGACAGAGTATAGGCTAGGTGATCAAAGACTGCAAACCTCGCTCAATGAGAAAGATCTTGGGGTGAGTATAACACCGAGCACGTCTCCGGAAGCACACGTTAACCAGATAACTGCTGTAGGATATGGGCGCCTGGCAAACCTGAGAATAGCGTTCCGATACCTTAGTAAGGAATCGTTCAAGAAACTGTACACTGTGTACGTCAGGCCCCATACTGAAGTATGCGCAAATGTGCTCTAAAGTTCCTCAAAGAGCTGGGTGAAAAGCTCATCATAGAAACCAAGGACCACAGGGCGACCAGCTTTCTTTTTCAGAGACTCAGTGTCGCGATCGAGAGAGAAAATCCCTGCAGCATTCTGGGCACACGGCCCACCGCCGGGGAGCTGGACGAAGTATTCGAGATGTAGCTCTGAGTTCTTATCTATGATGTTTTATTTCTACTGTATTTTTGTCAAAGTTTTGTCAATGTATTTTGTCTTTAAATAAAATATATATTAAATATGGGGGTGGTAGGAGAAAATTCTCGGTTTCAGGGAGAACCTTGAGTTTTCCCTGAAGCAAGTTTGTTCTTTTCTCTGAGGATGAGGGTCCCCATAACAGTTCTAGAGGTGGTACTTCCCTATATAATATATATGTATATATTAAATATATATATATATATATATATATATATATATATATATATATATATTATATATATATAATATATATATATATATATATATATATATTATATATATATATGTCGTGCCGAATATGTAAAACTGGTCAATTAGCAAGAACTCATTTAAAATTAAGTACAATCTAAAATTTTCTCTTATAAGTTTAAAGATATATTTTTTTCATTAATGTTAATGTAAAAAATTTTAATTTTGCACCAAAAGAATCTTAGAAAATTTACCTAACCTTATTATAACAAGTGCAATTTATTTTAGCCTAACCCAACTGAATATATTTTAGATTTGTTTACAGTAATTTAATACTAAACAAACACAGTGAAATATATTTTTTTTCGTTAGGTTAAGAATGATTTTGGCGAAATTATTGCATACACAAATTTTCGCTTGTCCTATATGGCAAGATGAGCGTTGCTATTTAAGCCAAAATCGCAAGTTCTGCCTATTCGGCACGACATATATATATATATATATATATATATATATATATATATATATATATATATATATATATATATATTATATATATATATAACCTGGAGAAAGTTCCGGGGGTCAACGCCCCCGCGGCCCGGTCTGTGACCAGGCCTCCTGGTGGATCAGAGCCTGATCAACCAGGCTGTTACTGCTGGCTGCACGCAATCGAACGTACGAGCCACAGCCCGGCTGGTAAGGTACTGACTTTAGGTGCTTGTCCAGTGCCTGCTTGAAGACAGCCAGGGGTCTATTGGTAATCCCCCTTATGTATGCTGGGAGGCAGTTGAACAGTCTCGGGCCCCTGACACTTATTGTATTGTCTCTTAACGTGCTAGTGACACCCCTGCTTTTCATTGGGGGGATGTTGCATCGTCTGCCGAGTCTTTTGCTTTCGTTGTGAGCGATTTTCGTGTGCAAGTTCGGTACTAGTCCCTCTAGGATTTTCCAGGTGTATATAATCATGTATCTCTCCCGCCTGCGTTCCAGGGAATACAGGTTTAGGAACCTCAAGCGCTCCCGGTAACTGAGGTGTTTTATCTCTGTTATGCGCGCCGTGAAGGTTCTCTGTACATTTTCTAGGTCAGCAATTTCACCTGCCTTGAAAGGTGCTGTTAGTGTGCAGCAATATTCCAGCCTAGATAGAACAAGTGACCTGAAGAGTGTCATCATGGGCTTGACATCCCTAGTTTTGAAGGTTCTCATTATCCATCATGTCATTTTTCTAGCAGATGCGATTGATGCAATGTTATGGTCCTTGAAGGTGAGCTCCTCCGACATGATCACTCCCAGGTCTTTGACGTTGGTTTTTCGCTCTATTTTGTGGCCGGAATATGTTTTGTACTCTGATGAAGTTTTAATTTCCTCATGTTTACCATATCGGAGTAATTGAAATTTCCCATCGTTGAACTTCATATTGTTTTCTGCAGCCCATTGAAAGATTTGGCTGATGTCCGCCTGGAGCCTTGCAGTGTCTCCAATGGAAGACACTGTCATGCAGATTCGGGTGTCATCTGCAAAGGAAGACACGGTGCTGTGGCTGACATCCTTGTCTATGTCAGATATGAGGATGAGAAACAAGATGGGAGCGAGTACTGTGCCTTGTGGAACAGAGCTTTTCACCGTAGCCGCCTCAGACTTTACTCTGTTGACTACTACTCTTTGTGTTCTGTTTGTGAGGAAATTATAGATCCATCTACCAACTTTTCCTGTTATTCCTTTAGCACGCATTTTGTGCGCTATTACGCCATGGTCACACTTGTCGAAGGCTTTTGCAAAGTCTGTATATATTACATCTGCATTCTTTTTGTCTTCTAGTGCATCTAAGACCTTGTTGTAGTGATTAGTAGTTGGGACAGACAGGAGCGACCTGCTCTAAACCCATGTTGCCCTGGGTTGTGTAACTGATGTGTATCTAGATGGGTGGCGATCTTGCTTCTTAGGACCCTTTCAAAGATTTTATGATATGAGATGTTAGTACTATTGGTCTGTAGTTCTTTGCTATTGCTTTACTGCCCCCTTTGTGAAGTGGGGCTATGTCTGTTGTTTTTAGTAACTGTGGGACGACCCCCGTGTCCATGCTCCCTTTCCATAGGATGGTAAAAGCTCGTGATAAGGGCTTCTTGCAGTTCTTGATGAACACGGAGTTCCATGAGTCTGGCCCTGGGGCAGAGTGCATGGGCATGTCATTTACCGCTTGTTCGAAGTCATTTGGCGTCAGGATAACATCAGATAGGCTTGTGTTTACCAAATTCTGTGGCTCATAAAAAATTCATTTAGATCTTCGGCTTTCAGTCTGGTTAGCGGCTTGCTAAAAACTGAGTCATATTGGGACTTGAGTAGCTCACTCATTTCCTTGCTGTCATCTGTGTAGGATCCATATTGTTTAAGTAGGGGCCCAATACTGGATGTTGTTCTCGACTTTGATTTGTCATAAGAAAAGAAATACTTGGGGTTTCTTTCGATTTCATTTATGGCTTTTAGTTCTTCCCGCGATTCCTGACTCCTATAAGATTCCTTTAGCTTTAGTTCGATGTTTGCTATTTCTCTGACCAGTGTCTCCCTACGTATTTCAGATATATTGGCCTCTTTATAGCCGCTCTGTTATTTTTTTCTGTCGCCTGTAAAGGGAGCGCCTGTCTCTTTCTATTTTACATCTACTCCTCCTTTTTCTTAAAGGAATAAGCCTTGAACATACATCGAGTGCCACAAAGTTAATCTGTTCTAGGCATAAGTTGGGGTCTGTGTTGCTTAGTCTATCTTCCCAGCTTATATCGTTTAGGACTTGGTTTACTTGTTCTTGTTATTGAAGTTGAATTTGGTGAAGGCTCCCTCATGATTGAGCTCATTTTGTCGGTCTGGGACTACGCGCATACTTGTCTGAACCTCGATTATGTTGTGATCTGAGTATATTGTTTTTGATATGGTGACATTTCGTATCAGATCATCATTGTTAGTGAAGATGAGGTCTAGTGCATTCTCCAGTCTAGTAGGCTCTATTATTTGCTGGTTTAAGTTGAATTTTGTGCAGAGATTTAAAAGCTGGTGTGTGTGTGTGTGAGTTCTCGTCAGAGCTGCCTCCTGGTGTTATCACTGCAACATTATTTGCTATATTCCTCCATTTTAGGTGCCTCAAGTATACACACACACACACACACACACACACACACACACACACCACACACACACACATATTATATTTATATATATATTATATATATATATATATATATATATATATATAATATAATATATATATATATATATATATATATATATATATGCAAGGAGGGAAGAGTATATGGAGAAAAAGAGAGAGGTTAAGAGAGTGGTGAAGCAATGTAAAAAGAGAGCAAATGAGAGAGTGGGTGAGATGTTATCACAAATTTTGTTGAAAATAAGAAAAAGTTTTGGAGTGAGATTAACAAGTTAAGAAAGCCTAGAGAAAAAATGGATTTGTCAGTTGAAAATAGGAGAGGAGAGTTATTAAATGGAGAGTTAGAGGTATTGGGAAGATGGAGGGAATATTTCGAGGAATTGTTAAACGTTTGATGAAGATTGGAAGCTGTGATTTCGTGTATGGGCAAGGAGGAATAACATCTTGTAGGTGTGAGGAAGAGCCAGTTGTGAGTGTGGGGGAAGTTCGTGAGGCAGTAGGTAAAATGAAAGGGGGTAAGACAGCCGGGATTGATGGGATAAAGATAGAAATGTTAAAAGCAGGTGGGGATGTAGTTTTGGAGTGGTTGGTGCAATTATTTAATAAATGTATGGAAGATGGTAAGGTACCTAGGCATTGGCAGAGAGCATGCATAGTTCCTTTGTATATAGGCAAAGGGGACAAAAGAGAGTGCAAAAATTATAGGGGAATAAGTCTGTTGAGTATACCTGGTAAAGTGTATGGTAGAGTTATTAGTGAAAGAATTAAGAGTAAGACGGAGAATAGGATAGCAGATGAACAAGGAGGCTTTAGGAAAGGTAGGGGGTGTGTGGACCAGGTGTTTACAGTGAAACACATAAGTGAACAGTATTTAGATATGGCTAAAGAGGTCTTTGTGGCATTTATGGATTTGGAAAAGGCGTATGACAGGGTGGATAGGGGGGCAATGTGGCAGATGTTGCAGGTGTATGGTGTAGGAGGTAGGTTACTGAAAGCATTGAAGAGTTTTTACGAGGATAGTGAGGCTCACGTTAGAGTATGTAGGAAAGAGGGAAATTATTTCCCAGTAAAAGTAGGCCTCAGACAAGGATGTGTGATGTCACTGTGGTTGTTTAATATATTTATAGATGGGGTTGTAAGAGAAGTAAATGCGAGGGTATTGGCAAGAGGCGTGGAGTTAAAAGATAAAGAATCACACATAAAGTGGGAGTTGTCACAGTTGCTCTTTGCTGATGACACTGTGCTCTTGGGAGATTCTGAAGAGAAGTTGCAGAGATTGATGGATGAATTTTGTAGGGTATGCAAAAGAAGAAAATTGAAAGTGAATACAGGAAAGAGTAAGGTTATGAGGATAACAAAAAGATTAGGTGATGAAAGATTGGATATCAGATTGGAGGGAAGAGTATGGAGGAAGTGAATGTATTCAGATATTTGGGAGTGGACGTGTCAGCGGATGGGTCTATGAAAGATGAGGTAAATCATAGAATTGATGAGGGGAAAAGGGTGAGTGGTGCACTTAGGAGTCTGTGGAGACAAAGAACTTTGTCCTTGGAGGCAAAGAGGGGAATGTATGAGAGTATAGTTTTACCAACGCACTTATATGGGTGTGAAGCATGGGTGATGAATGTTGCAGCGAGGAGAAGGCTGGAGGCAGTGGGATGTCATGTCTGAGGGCAATGTGTGGTGTGAATATAATGCAGAGAATTCGTAGTTTGGAAGTTAGGAGGAGGTGCGGGATTACCAAAACTGTTGTCCAGAGGGCTGAGGAAGGGTTGTTGAGGTGTTCGGACATGTAGAGAGAATGGAGCGAGACAGAATGACTTCAAGAGTGTATCAGTCTGTAGTGGAAGGAAGGCGGGGTAGGGGTCGGCTAGGAAAGGTTGGAGGGAGGGGGTAAACGAGGTTTTGTGTGCGAGGGGCTTGGACTTCCAGCAGGCATGCGTGAGCGTGTTTGATAGGAGTGAATGGAGACAAATGGTTTTTAATACTTGACGTGCTGTTGGAGTGTGAGCAAGTAACATTTATGAAGGGGTTCAGGGAAACCGGCAGGCCGGACTTGAGTCCTGGAGATGGGAAGTACAGTGCCTGCACTCTGAAGGAGGGGTGTTAATGTTGCAGTTTAAAAACTGTAGTGTAAAGCACCCTTCTGGCAAGACAGTGATGGAGTGAATGATGGTGAAAGTTTTTCTTTTTCGGGCCACCCTGCCTTGGTGGGAATCGGCCAGTGTGATAATAAAATAATATATATATATATATATATATATATATATATATATATTATATATATCTATATATATATATATATATATATATATATATATATATATATATTATATATATATATATATATATATATATATATATATATATATGCAATAGATCACGTAAAACAGGTGATTTTAAAATATGAAAAACAACCACTGTGAAAGAGTAGTGAAATTCCAAGCGCTTTCGTGACTACTCACATTGTCAAGGAACTATGAAAGTAACACATCAAAGGAAGGCAATTAAAGGACTGAGACCACACCTCACAGTTAACTCCCACAACAAAGAAACACCTGACGCGCGACAATACCGGACTCATAAGAAAAGAGGAACACTGCAGTAGGTGTATTTAAAAATCTTGATACAGTAAAAAAAATTTTTGATAAAGAATTCCCCCCAAAATGCTGACGGATGTGTCTATAAGATTCCTTGGTAAAAGTCTCGAACTTATATTAAAACAACATAAATATAGCACTGGAACTGGACAAGACTCCAATGCTCTATTTATTCATGTGAGAGACTTTAACCATCCAATTAATTTTCAAAACGTTGAGAAAGTTGTATCAAGCAAGTCCATGGTTGACAGAAATATAATTGAATCTTGTTTCATAAAAGCAGTTTTGAAAATAATATGAATATTTCCTTAGGTTTGTATAAATTAGATTCATTTATAATTAATAAAATTTGGTTGAGTTTAATAATACATTGGACAAAAAAATAAACCTTTTTTTCTTGGGTTAGAATAATTTGTTAGGGGGTTGTGTGAGGCCCTGTCTAGTTGGACCAGCGGCCCTACTGCAGTGTTCCTCTTTTCTTATGAGTCCGGTATTGTCGCGCATCAGGTGTTTTTTTTGTTGGGGAGTTGACTGTGAGGTGTGGTCTCAGTCCTTAATTGCCTTCCTTTGATGTGTTACTTTCATAGTTCCTTGACAATGTGAGTAGTCACGAAAGCGCTTGGAATTTCACTACCTTTCACAGTGGTTGTTTTGCAATACGTGTATATATATATATATATATAAATTATATATATATATATATATATATATATATTATATATATATATATATATATTATATATATATATATATATATATATATATATATATATATGTGTGCCGAATAGGCAGAAATTGCGATCTTGGCTTAAATAGCAACGCTTATCTTGCCATATAGGACAAGTGAAAATTTGTGTATGCAATAATTTCGCCAAAATAATTCTGAACCAAACGGAAAAAAAAATATTTCACTGTGTTTGTTTAGTGTTAAATTACTGTCAATAAATCTAAAATATATTTAGTTTGAGTTAGGCTAAAATAAATTACTCTTGTTATAATAAGGTAGGTAAGTTTTCTAAGATTCTTTTGATGCAAAATTAAAAATTTTTACATTAACATTAAAAGAAAAAAATATATCTTTAAACGTATAAAAGAAAATTTCGAAAGGACTTAATTTTAAATGAGTTCTTGCTAATTGACCAGTTTTAAATATTCGGCACGACACATATATATATATATATATATATATATATATATATATATATATATATATATATATATAATATAAATATATATATATTATATATTATATATATATATATATATATATATTAATGTTAATATAATAGAGGAGCAGCAACAGCATGTGGATATAGATCAACACTCACTAAATTAACCTTTCCTCCAGCAGAGCGTCATCATGTATGAGAGAGAGAAAGCAGTCGTTCTTAAATCATCCGCCTCGCTCATCCCCAACAATGTGTTTCGTGTCAAGGTGGACGGCAAGGTTAGTGACACACACATACATAGCTTTAAGAAGAGGTCTGATAAAGCTCACAGAGCAAAGAGAATGACCTAGTAGCCACCATTGAAGAGGCGGGGCCAGGAGCTATGAATCGATCCCTGCATCCACAATTAGGTGAGTACAATGTGAGCACACACACACACACACGTAACACGTATGTGTGTGTTACAGAGGTGTAAATGTGGCTAGTGTCAACAATATCCCAGTTTACAATAGGTATCAGTATGTCACCATTAAAGACAGCATCATCAATACCCCTAGTGGAGTTCCGCAGGTAATTAGATTAGATTAGATTTTGCCACCGAAGTGGCTAGTTTATTGTGCACCCCATATCCATCCTGTGGACGATATCCATCCTGTGGACGGTAGCGCGAGAGCATATGGATACACAAAAGGCCCAGGAACTAGGCCCCAAAGGGTTAACAGGAATACATATGGATTTATATCTACATATCTATAGTTCACTTATCTGTTACAAGCAAATTTAGGAAATTTGTTTAGTATATCTGGTATCTTATTTTCATTAATAAGATATCTTGACATATCACATAGGTTATTATGTTGTCTATCTCTGTATTCCTCAATAAGTGGACAATTAAGCACATAGTGTTCAAGACAGTGACCATATGCCTGATCACATAATTTACATTAGTTTGATCATCATCTGTGTGTCTCCCAAACTGCCAGAAGTACTTAGGCTTAACCAAGCCTAAGCCTGGCCACTACATCAGTCAGTCTGTTCACATTGCACGTTGCTCCATAAACATATCTACGTTCATGTTATCATAGTGGGTTATAGATTTACTCAGGCTTCTAACTGCATTCCTATAACAATAATTTTCATTATTTACTTCTCTCCTAATATTAATCCTAATGCTAGACACAGATATACCAAAGTTATATTCTACATTCTCCTTCTGGGTACTCTTCTTGGCTAACATATCAACTTTATCATGAAGGAGTAATCCAATGTGTGATGAGATCCATAGCAATTGTACATTAATTCCTTTGTCCCTAATTTTTGAGTATCTATACCTGGCTTCTCCAATGAGCATGTTGTTGGAGTCATTATATGAGTCAAGAGCCTTCAATGATGACATAGAATCAGTAATGATGATAGAGTCAAGCTCAGTGTCATAGGTTAGCTTTAGCGCCATTAGGATTGCAAACAATTCAGTTTGCAGTGTAGACGCCCAGTTGTTAATTCTTATGCCTAACTCAACAAATTTATTATTATCAGTATGTCACCATTAAAGACAGCATCATCAACACGGCCAGTGGAGTTCCGCAGGGAAGTGTCCTTGGACCCCTGCTTTTCCTCATTTACATCAATGATCTTCCAAACATATCCCAACACCTGAAACCCATTCTCTTTGCTGACGACATGACTTACGTCATCTCTCACCCTAATCTTGCCACCCTCAATACCATTGTTAACGAGGAGCTGCTCAAAATATCGACTTGGATGACAGCCAATAAACTTACACTTAACACTGACAAAACCTACTATATTATGTTTGGTAGCAGAGCAGGTGTTGCGCAAATTAACATTAAGATCGACAACACTCTAATTGCCAGACATAATGAGGGCAAATTCCTAGGCCTATACCTCGACAACAACCTAAATTTCAGCACCCATATCCAACACATAACAAAAAAAGTATCCAAAATGGTGGGGATCCTCTCCAAGATATGATTTCTACGTACCGCAAAACTGCCCTTCTCAAAACTATACCATTCACTTGTTATCCATACCTCACCTATGCTATCTGTGCTTGGGGTTCAACTGCAGCAAAAACACCTAAAGCCAAATAATACCAACAAAAAGCTGCGGTAAGAATAATTACTAAATCCCATCCTGGCAACACCCCCCCCCCCCCATCTTCATAGATTAAAAATTACTCCCTGTTCAGAACATCCACACTTACTACTGTGCAATCTATATTTACGGGACCTTAAATTCCATATTAACCTGACCTAAAATGCTTTCTTGATATTTTGTGACAGGATCCACAGGCATAACACCAGACAAACATCTCTATGACATTCCCCGTGTTCGACTAAACCTTTACAAAAATTCAATGTATTTCAAAGGCTCTAAAATCTGGAACACCCTACCTGAAAACTCTAGAACTGCAGACACATTCATCACTTTCAAAACTACAGTTAGAAAACATCTTATCTCCCTGATACACCCCAACAACTAACTACATGATAACCACCTGGTGGTTCACAATTACACTTACTCACCCACTGACTATAAACCCAGAAATACTAATCTTAATCTTAAAATAATAAATCCTAACTAGTCATAAGTTTGCCTATGAAACTCCAATATAGACACCTTGTATTGTGCCAAAACAAAAGCATTCACATTGCTAAACTCACAAATTATGATGTAGTCACTTAGCCTTAATACCATAATCTGTAAGGATTTAATGTTAAGAATTAATCTAAGTCTGCTCGAAATGCCTAGCCAGGCTAGGTGTCCTAGTGGCCCCCTCTGTAATTAGTATTTTATAACATGTAAACCACACAATACCCAAAACCTGTAAACCCCTTATTGTAACCCTTATAGAGAATAAACTTGAATTGAATTGAATTGAACTAGTATTTAGTCACTTAGTATTTAGTCAACTTACCCCATAATTTGTAATAATTTAGGGTTAAGAATTAATCTAAGTTTGCCCGAAATGCCTAGCCATGCTAGGTGTCCTAGTGGCCCCCTCTGTAATTAGTATTTTATTACAAGTAAACCACACAATAACCAAAATCTGTAAACCCCACATTGTAACCCTTATAGAGAATAAACTTGATTGATTGATTGAAAGGGGAGACGTGAACTTCTTCTTGCCTATTCTGTTTATTTCCCTCTCTATAACCCCCACTTCTCCCCTCCCTCCCTCCCTCTCTCCCTCCCTCCCTACCTCCCTCCCTCCCTCTCTCCCTCCCTCCGTCCCTCTCTCCCTCCTTCCCTCCCTCCCTCCCTCCCTCCCTCCCGTCTCTCCCTCCCTCCGTCCCTCCCTCCCTCCCTCTCTCCCTCCCTCCCTACCTCCCTCCCTCCCTCTCTCCCTCCCTCCGTCCTCTCTCCCTCGTCTCTCCCTCCTTCCCTCCCTCCCTCCCTCCCTCCTCCCTCCCTCCGTCTCTCCCTCCCTCCGTCTCTCCCTCCCTCCGTCTCTCCCTCCCTCCGTCCTTCTCTTCCACCGTCCCTCTCTCCCTCCCTCCGTCCCTCCCTCCCTCCCCTCCCTCCCTCCCTCCCTCCCTCCGTCTCTCCCTCCCTCCCTGCTAGATAATCAGCTCCCTGACGCAGCTTCTAGCGACGATCTACAATAAAACACAACAAAACACTACTACAAACAGCTACACTAAAATTTATATTTTGATATTTAAAAAAAAAACTTTTATATTATTGATAATTTTTTTCATATATGTGAGGTCACATTACCTAGTAGTGAGGTCACATTACCGAGTAGTGAGAGGTCACATTACCTAGTAGTGAGGTCACATTACCTAGTAGTGAGAGGTCACATTACCGAGTAGTGAGAGGTCACATTATTGAGTAGTGAGAGGTCACATTACCGAGTAGTGAGAGGTCACATTATTGAGTAGTGTGAGGTCACATTACCGAGTAGTGAGAGGTCACATTACTGAGCATTCAGAGGTCACATTACTGAGTATTCAGAGGTCACATTACTGAGCACTCCTAGGTCACATTACCGAGTAGTGACAGGTCACATCACCGATTAGTGAGAGGTTACATTACCGAGTAGTAAGAGGTCACATTACCGAGTAGTGAGAAGTCACATTACCGAGTAGTGAGAGGTCACATTACCGAGTAGTGAGAGATCACATTATAGAGTAGTGAGAGGTCACATTACCGAATAGTGAGAGGTCACATTACCGAGTAGTGAGAAGTCACATTACCGAGTGGTGAGAGGTCACATTTCTGAGTATTCAGAGGTCACATTACCGAATAGTGAGAGGTCACATTACTGAGCATTCAGAGGTCACATTACTGAGTAGTAAGAGGTCACATTACTGAGTAGTGAGAGGTCACATTACGGAGTATTCAGAGATCACATTACTGAGTAGTGAGAGGTCACATTAGTGAGTAGTTAGAGGTCACATTACTGAGTATTCAGAGGTCACATTACTGGAGTTTACCTGGAGAGAGTTCCGGGGGTCAACGCCCCCGCGGCCCGGTCTGTGACCAGGCCTCCTGGTGGATCAGAGCCTGATCAACCAGGCTGTTGCTGCTGGCTGCACGCAAACCAACGTACGAGCCACAGCCTGGCTGGTCAGGAACCGACTTTAGGTGCTTGTCCAGTGCCAGCTTGAAGACTGCCAGGGGTCTGTTGGTAATCCCCCTTATGTATGCAGGGAGGCAGTTGAACAGTCTCGGGCCCCTGACACTTATTGTATGGTCTCTTAACGTGCTACTGACACCCCTGCTTTTCATTGGGGGGAGGGTTTGCATCGTCTCCCAAAGTCTTTTGCTTTCGTAGTGAGTGATTTTCGTGTGCAAGTTCGGTACTAGCCCCTTTCAGGATTTTCCCGGTGATGTGTCCCTTTAGCTCAGTGAAGACCTGTTTGTGTGCTCTTGAGTGGGGGCCCTGTACTTTGAGTGCTGACCTGTATTTTAACTCTGTGAGAAAGTGTCTTGTTTGCTCCGTGGACTGAACCAAGATGCCCTCCATCGAGAAATTTTACCAGCAACTTAAGGAAAAAATTGAGGGCAGCGAAGATGGAGATACGGCGATTGACCGAGGAAACAAGAGGATTCGTAGTAGTCCTCCTGTTTCGAGCCCTCAGGTAAAGAAGGGATCGTGGTCAGTGGTTGGACAGCAGGGGACGACAAAAGTTGACGATCAAGAAGACGAATGGAAAGCCAGAACGATGAAGAAGAAGAAAACTGCTGTGGAAACTCCCGTGGAAACCTCCAACGCATTCTCGGTGTACCGACGAATGTGAGTTACTACTGG